AATGATGAGGACTTTTGGAAAAAGTTGTGTTTTCGCCAGTGTTCTTTTACTTATGACATTTTATATCCTCCTTTTCCCATAAACTTCTATTACTGCTTTCATAAAGAGACAGACTCCTAGCTAACTCCTAGTCTGATCAGCATAAATGCCTTTTATAAAGTTTTAGCTTTTAAATATACCCCATGTAATCTATGCTTTATAATATAACTTTATATACTTGGCAAAAGAGTTTAAAACAAAAGAGTTGCATAAAGTTTTTTTCTATAATTACTTGCTTTTTGAACAATTAGGCAATGTTTGAAGGTGGACCCCAATATTTTATGACATTTTTTAGGCCTCTGTTGGGCAAAGAGGCATGCCTGATAACTTGGGCATTTTATCGAAAAATAATAGGTCATTTTTTTTTTGTTCTTTCAGAACTTGGGATAGGCTAGGTACAAATCAAATGTTTTAAATTCTGCAGAAATTTTAATATACCTATTTTGAACTTTTGTATTATTTATTATTATTGAAATAAATTGGCAATTGTGCCACCAATTCCACTGCCATGATATGAGGCCTTTGGGAATTGAAAAATGATGGATAATTTTTATCTTAATCATGCACTTTAAAGTAAAATCTAAATGCCCTGTCGTCTTTGCACTGTGCCTTGATTTACTTTAAGAAGCAATAATTTTAATTTAATCCAGTTTTTCTGCAGATAGCTTCAGGAGCTGCGCTTTGAAGCAGCTTGTGTGCTGAAAGCAGAGGGTGGGGGAGCAATTAGTTCATGGTTGAAGAAGCAGCCATTTTGGGAATTTATTTTTCAAACAGACAATAAGTGGTATCTTTCATTTCTTAATCATTTTTAATCATTATTAAGGTAAAAGAGGCTTTTTAAGCTGCAGTTTGCTATTCCTTTTTGAAGATCTGCACCATTTTGTGGATTTCTTCTTGTTAAACAAGGAAGAAGGCTGCTAAGGCAAGCTAAAAGAAGGAAGTATGGACTATCTTTTTTTAAAAAAATGATGGAGAAATATAAGGGCAGGTAGTTGTGGTTCTAGTTTATTATTTTTAGTAATTTGTAGCATGGTCTGTTTTGCTGTGGATGGCTAAAACTAAAACTTTCTGATTTTTATGTTTCCTGATGGGTCAGCAATTTTTAAGTGACTTACAAAAAAGCTACTTTTTGACAAAAGAGGAATTTAAGAAGATGGAGGAGCAAATTATTAAAAAGCTGGAAGGAGTGACTTAAACTTGGAATTAGTATGGATTTTCATTGGTTTGATATCTGTAATTGAAAGAAAGTCTTAATCTAAAATTTGAAAATGTATTCAAATGTATATAATGTTTAAGTAATTCCTAATGTTTGTAAAATATTATGAAAGTATTTGAAAATATCTGTTAAGAGAAAGTTATAAAAAAAGATATACTAGCTTAAAGAATCTAGCACTTTAAAAAGGATGTATACAAGAAGAAGAAGAATTGTATGATGGTAACTTGGAGGGAGTGATCTAAATTTAATGAGTTAATTGGAATTTTATTGGACTGAAAGTGAACTTTAAAGTATGTATGCTAAGAGGAAGTTTAAAAAAATGTATTAGAATGTTTTTATTTTAAAATGTTTTTAAGAAAAGCTTGGTGTTTTATGATAGATGAAAAAATATTTTTTCTTTTAAGGTTAAAGAATCTGAAAAAATATAGTGAATTTTGTTAATAAAAATAGTGATAGTTTATAAAGATTATTAAGTGCAAATAGAAATAAATATTATTTCAACAGCGAGGAAGATAAAGCAGTAATGGTTAAATTGATTGTTTATTCAAAGAGGAGACTATATTTATGTTTTTTATTTGGATATCACTTCTGGATTTTGTACTTGTGATAAAAAAACTTTGATTTTGGTTTTGCTGATTAGATAGATTTGTTGTTATAGAACTGGTTAGTTATATACTAATGTGTAAATGTAAAAAGTTGAGGTTGTAATGTTATTTTGTACTGTGCTAAAAAGAGTCAGAAATCAACATGTTTTTCTTTCTTCCCTTGTACCTCATATTTTCTTTCCCCCTTTCTTTTTTCTTCCCTTAATATCCTATTTTTATTTTTCTTTGTATTTTACACATTGATAAAAACAATAAATGTTATGTATAAAAAAGATGCTGTAAGATGGCATTTTGCAGGACTTTTCAATGTGTTACATCTCTTTTTTTTTAAAGCAAATCTACTTTGAAACAATGTTTTGCCCAGTTGAATTAGCCTTTTCCATTAGAGTTCAAGGATAGTAGGATAATTGAGATGATACAGTTATACATTAACATGCAAAGTTATCTTCCATTAGAGTTCAAGGATAGTAGGATAATTGAGATGATACAGTTATACATTAACATGCAAAGTTATCTATCATGCAAAGCAGCACTAAGAACCCAGCTTTCCTTATAAATATAGGAGTATAAATTAGTACCATATTTTTTGGAGTATACCTTACCTTATTTTAGGGGGAGGAAAATAAGAAAAAAAAATTCTGCCTTGCCCATCAGCATCCATCGGTATTCATTTGGCTAGCGTCCTTAGCAAACATCCTGGTCGGCTTCAACACATTAACCTGATTCAGTATGAACAGCTGATTGGCGGGTGGATCACCTCCCGGAATACCCCCAATCAGCTATTCCCCGAGGTGAAGTTTAGCAACAGGTTTGTTGGTTGTGAGAGTGCACACGCCTTTGCAAAGAGAAGCTTCTCTGCAAACAGAGTTTTTGGAGCTTTTGGAAGCAGCTTGAGAGGCTTTCCGTTTGAGAGGCTGCATTTGCAGCCTCCAAAAGCTCTGTTTGAGAGGACACACGGAGGCCGAAGGGTGGGGGCTGGTGGATGGGCAGGGCTACATTCGGTGTATAAGATGCACCCAAATTTTCACACTCTTTTAGGTGGGGGGGGAAGTGTGTTTTATACTCCAAAAAATACAGTATGTGTTTTCTTAACTGGTGGTCTTCGAGGTGCGATTCAAGGTGTTGGTTAACATCTTTAGAGCGCTCCATGGCTTAGGACCTGGATACCTACGAGACCGCCTTCTGCTACCAATAACCTCCCACCAGCCAGTACGCTCCCACAGAGAGGGTCTCCTCCGGATGCCATCGGTCAGGCAATGTCGACTGGTGACCCCAAGGGGGAGTGCCTTCTCTGTGGGGGCACCTGCCTTCTGGAACAAATTGCCCCTGGAGATTCGGAGGATCCCAGACCTACGCACCTTCCGCCATGCCCTCAAGACTCTTTTGTTCCAACAAGCCGGGCTGGCCTAATTCTAATTCTTTTTAACTTTTAATTTTTAATTTTTAATTCTTGACGTTTAAAAATGGGTTTTTAATTAGTTACGGGCCATATTGTTTAATATATATTTTAAATTGTTATTAAATTTTCTATTTGTGTGTTCTTATTCTGGCTGTACGTCGCCCTGAGTCCTTCGGGAGAAGGGCGGTATATAAATTCAAATAAATATATAAATAAATAAATAAAAATCATTTAAATGTAATTTCAAATTATCAAAGAATTTTTCTGCATCAAGAAATATATTAATTTCAAAAGTAATTAAAAAAAATCTTTTATCTTGCTGAGAATATTGAAATGTGTCTAATTTATTTATCATGTACATCTTCAGGATAAATCCAGTCACATCAATTCAGTCATAAATTCACTATTTTTTTATAGCCATGAACAGTTTTATTTGAAAATAGATCTACGTGACTTAAGACAGGTGCAAGTTTTTCTTTGTTTATAAATCAAACAAATGAAGACTTCCTTCCATTAAGAGAGAATTTTTTCACCTTAACTGTAATCCTAACCTTAATCTATTTTTTAATCTCAAATGAGCATATTACTGTAAGAATTTTGTGAGGATGTATACTCCAAAGAACGGTGGGAATGAAGGAAAAATGAAAAGTAAAAATAAGCAGATTGTTTTGTGTGCACCTCCTTTAATAATTGCCTTTCATATTGTCTATTCTTTTTTTAAAAAAGCTTTGTGTGAGTATTCCTTTTTCTTTAGTAGTGTATATCCTACTATTGAACAACATATTATGGAGATATAATATTTTGCTCAACATATATGCAGATATATTCCAATTTCAATAGAATATATCTCAAAAAACCTTCTCTTGTTCATAATATTTTAGTCAACTCTTGAAAATGTTTAGAATAATTAAATCAAAATAATAATTTTATGGAAAAATAATAATGAACTGTAATATAAATAATGTTTATTTGGTCAATGACCAGCAAAATTTAAACATACAAAGCAATAGTAAAAGCAAATGAGTGAGATAAGGTACTAACATAACAATATGTTGGAGTCTCAATAATAAAAGTGTAACTTATGGTACAATAATGGCATGTTAATGAATTGTGTATTTATTATTTGCTTCAGAACTTGCCTTGGAGATAAAGAGCACAAGAAGATTACATTTTCTGCTATCTATTTTAATACTTCTTTTTCCCCCAGCATAAATTTATATTCACTAAATCTGGAGAAAGATAGATGTGATATTAGGCTTTAAACCACAGGAGATAGGTGTGCCATGTTTGATATACAACAGTCCATGAAGGGCTGTACTTTTTGCATTCCTGTCACTAAAATTGAATTTGAAGAATAGATTTAATAAAGTAGTCAAATTCTATTATTACTGAAATTTAAGCAGCTACAATAGAATACATGCAAAACTAAGCATAAACAACCACAGGTATAGATCCCAATTCCCTAAAGATGAATATCAAATGTTAAGGAATGCAGGTGCAAAGAGGAGCACATAGTCATCATTCCACTTGGAATGAGAAGGCAACAATATATATTAATAAAACAAAAGAAAAACTTCAAATCTCAGAAAAGTAATCCACGAATAAAAGCTGGGGCAATAGATATCAAGAAATCACATACAATATATCCATTATTCTAATGGAACATGCTATCACACAACTTTCATTGGAAAAATACATGTATTTAATGCATGCATGTTAAAGATATAACTTGTTTACTTACATCTGAATTAAATCTCAATTGGCATATGTTGCAAGAGATGGTTTGCTTTCTTCTGTGAGGAAGAGGAACCCCAAATGTATGATTTATTACAGCTTTTTGAATTGGATCCATCTGCAATAAGAAGGGGAAAAAAGTTGTTTTCTAGGCATTAAGCTACCGTTGTGAACAAGATTAAATTAAATTTGTGCACTTCCCAAATATGGGGCCTATACTTTTTGTATATGTTTATACAAATATAGGTATGTGTATGTCTACGTATATGTGTTTATACCTGTGTATGAATGTACTGATGAAGGGTGAGAAGGGAAGAATAAATGAAGAAAGAGTATATTAATCAAGAAAAGAGAATGATGAGACAATTGAAGTTAGATGGAATTGAGATCCTCACAGACAGAATCAAAACATTAAAGGTTAACAAAAGATGAGGTAGAAGGAAAGATATTTTATAACTACAGAAAAGTACTAACTGGTATAGTAAGTGATCCTTGGTGTGAATTAGTTCTAGATTTAGTTGACTTCCTTATCTTGTCTTTAACACCTTCCTTTAATTTTCTTTGTTCACTACTCACTTTTTTTCAGTTCTTTGTATAGTTGCTGGTACATATATCACATCAGATCCTATAGATACTATATATGTTGGGAAGGCTATCTTAACTTTTATCTAGGAAATTAATGGATGAAAAACCATTCCTGGAAGAAAGCTCTAAGAAAAACAGTAACATTCTAATATAATTCCAACATTCTCATGTGTCTATCATGATTTCATTAAATGTTGCAATTGATGGAGTTATATTTGGAAAAATAATTCTGTCTTGAGAAATCAAACTGCATTTTTCAAAGTAGAAATGTCTACATCCAAATCCGCTTTTCCTGGTCACTTTAGTTAACATGCAGATATGTTTGCTTTAAGACCCAAACAAAACCAGGGAAGTTATATTTAAAAGAAACAGTTTATTGCCCATGTGGAGAAATCATGGGTTTTTTTCCTCCATCATAATCACGTAAGTGCTGTACTTATTCATTTTTCCTACATAGATTGAATTAGGTGAATTTATTATTCTGGTTACATAAAAATTGGTATCTCTCAGAAGATTGGATCACAATGCCTAATATTAGGATGCCTCAGTTTTAGTTCCATAATAATTAATGACTACAGTATGGTGTCTTATTTGTAGTGAATGACTTCAAACTTCCTTCAACTTTTTCAATGTTTATTTTATAGAGTGGAAGCAGCCTAACTTTTGTGTTTCACATAGCTCTCATTTACAAAATATACTTGAGAATTCGCTCATTGGAAGCATTAGATATATAAAAATATATATCCTCACTTTCATCTATTGAATACATATCAACTGCCAAACAAAACAAACAACAACAACAACAACACAGGAGAGGCAGGATAAAAAATTGAAATTAAATATCCATGAAAACTAGAATATAAAAACAAGACATGAGAAAATTTTGTCTCCAAAAAAAAAACCTGCTGCGAAAAAAAATGGATATGAATAAGATATGTCAGTTTCCTCAAGTCCTTTGGTTTCTGTTTGAATTTGACTATATCCCATAGTGCTCTTTGCAGGAAAAGAAGATCACAGAAGGACTCTAATTACATAGAAAAATTATCTAAAGTAACAGAGAGCTTTTGGAATTTAGCATAGCAAAGCCTTATCAAGAAAAAACAAAATAGAACAATCAAGATTCTTCACCTACAGATTAGGATGAGCTTTAAAAAAAGTTATGAAGTCTGTTTCTCTCAGCTTTCTTGTTCCAGTCAGACCGCTACAGGTTAATTCGTTTAGATAGGAAGGAAATTCCAATTTTTCCTCTTGCCTTACAGAGTGATGAAGATACGTTTGAATGCTGATTTACAGTTAGCAATCACACTTAAGAAAAGAGGAAATTGGTCTGAAGAAGTTAAAACATCGTTCAACTAAGTCCTGGATGGAAAAAAAAGATGCTATCTGGTTGATTTCAAAGTAGAGGATGAACTTCTCTAATTTGCAGGTTGTCTTAATGGCAACTAAGAATACAATACAATAGGTTCAGTCAATCAGATTAGAGCTGAAAGGCACCTTGAATGGCTTCTAGTCAAACAAATAAACAAGCCCTAAATAAGTAAATGACTGAACTTGTTCTATTCTTCTGCCATTTAAAACCCATCTCCTCATCTTTTGTTGCCTGCTAAATATCATTACCTTTGACTTCTCTACGTTAATTGTCAAGCAATTTTTTTATACAATATGCTGCCAACCTCCCGAGTGACCTTCGTAGCCCCACCTGTGAGGCCGACAGCAAAATTATATCATCGGCATATAACAAGCAATTTACCTGTCGTGTTCCTATACTAGGCCCATGGAGTAATATGTCTTCCAAACATTTTGGAAGGTCATTTAAATATAAATTGAAAAGTGTTGGGGCTAAATTGCAACCTTTGGATTGCATTTGTTACCGATCCTGTCCTGTTCACTCAAACTCTTACTGGGTTGCCATGTATAACAATCTAATTAGATTGTAATTAGATATAACAATTTCTTTTCTATTCTCATGGCCTCTAATTTATCCCATAAAATTTGTCTATCAATTGTGTCGAAGGCTGCCTTCAAGTCTATGAATGCCACATACAGTGGTTTTTTCCAAAACTTAAACTTTGTTATTAGATGGTCCAACACAAAACAATTATCTATAGTAGATCTTCCTCTCCTGAAGCCTGTCTGTTCTTCAACTAAAATGATATTTCTCATTGCCCAATCTTCTAATTTATGAAGTAAATACTTAGCATAAATTTTTGCTGATATATCAATTAGACTAATTAGACTAATTAGTCTAATATATTAATTAGACTAATTATCTGGGTTATCGCTAGAGCCCTTTTTTATATAATGGAATAATTATTGATGAACGCCAACTGACAGGAATTTGCCCTGTTCTATTGATAAAAGTAAAGAGACCCACCAGGACAGGCGCCCACCAGGCTATGTTATCTTTAAATAACGATGCCGGGAGCGCATCCTGTCCTGGAGCTTTATTTGTCTTCAGCGGGGAAATTAAACACCTTACCTCCATGATTTACCCCACTGGGGTAAGGCTTCATATCCCTGTATCAAGCTCAGAGAGGATATCACCTCATCAGAGCTTTCCGCTGCTACTGGAGTGGCCAGATGCTTCTCCCAACTTTCTGCAGTAATGTTTGGGTCACTTATTGATTTTCTATCTCTAATAATTTTTGAGACCTCCAACCAGAAAAGTGTGGGTGAAGCCAGCTTTGCTGCCTATTCTAGGTCAGCCCATAAGTTGTCAATATAAGAGGCCTTTTTCCTCTTCAATAACTGCTTGTATTTCTGCCTTATGGTGATATACTCCTTCTGTAATTCCATGTTTGGGCTGATTAAGTATCTCCTAAGTGATTTCCTAAGATGTTTTTTCCTTTCCTTGCAGTCATTATCAAACCATGTTGAGTAACTAGAATCAAACTGGCCCATTGGCTTGGTAGTCATGAAAAAATGCTTCAATTTGCGGCATATTTCCACAAATATATACTATAAGCTCTTGTTTATCCATACTATTTGAGCATATATGCGCTAAGGCTTCCATACGTGGTGAATTCATGAATTCTGTCACTGCTTTACTATCAACCCTCTTCCATGTTAGTATTCTCTCATGGGCTATTTCTAAGTTGAAGCCTATTTGTTGAATTGTTTGATTCCTTTTCTTTAAGTCGGAAGGGATTGCCAGGGACGTCTCAATCGGAAGATGATCACTTTCTGGCCTTGGTAATGTCAAGACCAAAGTTGCCCCTGATACTAAGCTGTGAGAAGTAATCAATAGAGCTACATGCCTTAGGGCCAAAAAAGTTATGGGATACCTTTTAGCTTCTGAGTACTGGCCTACAATTTGAAGGTTACAGTTGTATATCATTGTTAGAAATTTCCCCCCATCTTTATTATTTTTCCTATCTTGAGAGTCCCATGATTGTTGGTTATGTAAATATCCATCTGGAATTGTATCATTTTCAATAAAAGGCTCCAATGAGGGACCTACACGAGCGTTAAAACCCTGCCAAAATTAAAGGTGTTTTTATAAATTTTTTACATATATCTAATATTTTTTCCTCTAGTGCCTCCCACAAATCGCCCATTGCTGGATTAACAAACACATTTACAAATACCATTGACATCCCTTCATACACCAAATGGATTGCTTGTAAAAATAAAGGGCTGGGATCCGAGCATATCTCATTTCCCTTCCATCCTAATTCAGCTTTTACCAAGATGCACAATCCTCTTGAGGGTCTTCCCTTTATAGCTACCATCTTTGCTGGCAACTGCCAAATATTAAGCCTGGGGAGCTCAATGGGGGCCTCATCACTGCTAACCCATTGCTAATTCTTGTAAGGCAATTACTTGGTACCTGTTTAAAAATTTAATACAGTCATCTCTGCACCAGCTTCCTCTCCATCCTGCCACATTCCAAGAGAGGAAGTGTATTCTTGAAGAAAATGATTGCTCGCTATTTGCTAGTCAGGCTTTTTGAATAATCTCTCCCACCTGTCCTCCCTCACTTACGCTCACACACCCATTTAATCGCCTGAGCTCCACACAAGTCTGTTTAGGTGTCATTACTCTGCCTGTTGGTTTCGAGCTTGCAGATCCATAGGCTCTATTAATCTCTGCCTCCACGGTAAATGATTTTACATGAGGCACAGCGCTTACATCGTTTCTTGGAATCATCTTTGTCACTAAGGGGGACTGGGGAATTCCTTCCTGGGTGCCTTCCATCTCTGGTGTTCGTCTCACAGCACTTTGCACTCTTAGGTCTGCTGTCTCTGGCACTTTGTGCTGTATAGACGTGGGCGTCAGGCTTACTGGGCTTATAAACTGCTGATTCTCCGGAACTGCGTCATGCCTTGATGGGGGCAGAACAATCAATGCCAAAGGAGCAGCAGCGGAAATGGTCTGCTTCAGCTTCCTCATCTCTTTAAGTTTATTAAGTACTTCTTGCTGCTCAGTTAATGAAAGTGAGGAAAAAGTTTCCAAGCAGGCAGAAGCGAATGTCTCATCTTGCATTAAGCCAATTGAAGGAAGTTTCACACTAGCTGGATCCAAAACCTTCAC